GGAGTTTGCAAGTTGCAGCTTCTAAACAGTTATTAAAAAAAAAAACAAAAACCCAAAAAACCACAAAAAACCCAAACATTTCCAGAATGCTGCTTTAGAATTGTCATTGAAAATAGGTTTTGTTTAATAGAACCATTACTGAAGGAGTGCTTGGTTCTCAGTAGATAGTTCTGTACAGTAAACTATTCAGTCATTGTACCGAAAAAGTGTTTCTCACTATTAAAAAAAAACAAACAACAAAACCTGTATATGCATGCATGGTATGGTATATTCTAATAAGATATCTTTATAAGAATTTTGGCATGTTAGATATGGCTGTATTTACTAACCTTTTCTTCTCTACAGTGTGCTTGCACACATTCTTTAACTTTTTCATTACATGCAGACCTTCTTTTTCCCCCCGAATTAATCTTATAATTATCCTCTCTTGTAAAAACAGATACGAGAATATAACTAGTACACCCTTTTTCTGCCACAAGTTGTTCCTAACACCCTAAGATAAGTAAAACCAAACAAAAATGAAACAAGCATCACCACACCCTAAACACACAAAACTTTACATCATGTGTCTTCTTCAAACCGAGGAGACATCATTAGTGGTATCTCCCAAAGATCTGATGTCAACTATCTGGTGCCACTGATAAGAATGAAACCTTTGTCTTTGATAGAAGCAAAGTGAGGCCAAAGCTGAGCCCTTCAACAAATCTTTTCCCTGACAACTGGAAAGATGAAAAACATTTGAAAATATGTATGATACTTAACAAACCAAATCTTCCTGAAAATTCATATTGCTTCTTCTATTCCCCAAATGATAAATTATGTATTGCAGGCTTTGTTATCTTAGGGGAACCTGTACATCTGGGTGAACAGTGGAAGTCAGCAAATACAGTAACAAGTGTTTTCAGTGATAAGCTGAAGGGATCCTGTAGTTGCTAATTTAGACATTTGGAATTTAAACAGTGGAGAACTTCAGTGAGAAGAGAGTTATCTGGAGTTTACTGAAGATCTCATTTTGTTTGTTCATTTTTGTTTAACAAACAGCTGAGACAATGCACCTGATATGGCCTTTATTGCTGTAGGAATGCTAAAGTCAGAGCCTTCTAACTGAAAATTGCAGAAGTCTACAACATAGATCAAATATACGGCCACTTTTTAGAATTTTATTTTTTTTTCCAGTTTGGTGATGATATAAAGCCTTAAGAGATGTTTCTGGCACACTCTAGTAGGTGAAGCAATCATCCCCAGGGGGATCAGCTTTGTATGTACAACTGGTATGTCTCCTGGGTTTAATTTTCTTCATCCTAATTGCCAGCAGAAGTTGTGATGATTGATTTTTGAGGGCTCACAGTACAGTTTTCAACAAAGATGTTAATGTATTAAAAGAAGTTGGTAAACTGAGCCTAGCTGTTCTGCTTAAGTGAATTTCTTCTTAACCCTTGTGAGAAGAAATCAAGGCTGCTGGAGTGCAGTATGCTCATGGATTCTGAAAGCACTTCTACATTGCACTTTGTAAAGTTAAACTGCCTCAGTGTTTTGCTACAGTATCTTTATATGCCAGAGACATACAGAGACATGTCTTTGAAGGGGAGGGGGATGAGATTGTTCTGCTAAACTGAGTGCCATTTATCTTTAAAATTTTCCTTAAGTTACGATTTTATATTTATAGATATGATTTTATATATCTATATATATGCACATATATACAAAAATGTATAACATAATAGAAAATGTAAAAAAAAAATTACCTCACATATATTGTAATATATTATTGTAGTATATGTTGCATGTGGCATATCATATTTTATATACAGAATAAGATATATGTTTAGAGATTATGAGAAAGAAATTTGCTATTATCACTGTTACCTTGTAATGCAGATGTAATACCTCTGTTGTGGAATCAGTGTGCCCGAATGATGGTGTAACATGCAGCATATATAACGTTCAGCAAGAAGCAACCAGCTTTCAGTCTGTTTGGTAGCCCAATGTAACAGCCCTCAACATGTAGTAAAGACATGCTCTTCACCACTGACTAAAAACATTGTCAAGTTTGACTATTATGCTGTGAGACACAGAGAAGAGATGTATCTGAAGAGTGAAATCCTATCATTATTGAAACAGAGGGAAAAAAACATCCCAAACCTCTCATCAAACTACTTAGGCTCAAATTTTCAAAACACAAAATACAGAATTATTGTCCTTTTGTCCTTGGAGAAGATTGTTGCGGTGTAGAGTCCAGCTGCATTCATAAGACACATCAAGACTTGAAAAGACCCGTGGTGTTTGCCCTTGAAATGATATATATCATGAGGATAAATGCAATACAACCACCATAGCTGAGAAATCAGTATCTTTCTTGGGAGCTTGCACCTATATCTAAAAGTGAACATCACAGCATTGAAAATTCTATCTTGTGCAGGATTTATGGAATATTTGGATAGAGATAGATATTACGGAATATTTGGATAGAGCCATGTCAGGTTCCCGCACTGTGTGTGATCAGAGGAATGTAGCAATAGGAGTGCATTGTTACAGTCAGCATGCTCAAAGGTTTTGGCTTGTCTACACCAAGCCAATGCTGACAGTAATCCTAGCTCTGCTCTGGGAGTTAGACATTTAACATCATTAGAGGGATGTCTCCTCTCTTCAGGCCACATTGCAGCTCAATGTCTTTTTAAGAATAAGAGCAGATCAACAAACTTGAGATAAGTAGTCTTTTAGCTTTCTGGTCATCTGCAACTTTCTGGAGCTGCAACTGCCAATAATTTATCAGCACCAGAGGAATGAAAAAAGTCTTTGAGTTCCACTGGAAAAGAGGATGTGATCCTAGGCTTCAGAGCCTTAGGGCCTTTATCCAGGAGGGGGAATATCTAGATTTTAGTTTTTGCTCCAAGAAATGTTCATAAATATTCTTCACTAACTGTTTCTCATAAAATGCAGAAATTGTCAAAGCAGAGCTCAAATTCCAGATGTTTTGCTAAGACCAACCAAGTTTCCTGACTATATTGCCTCTTTCTTCTTAGGCAGATTGAGGAACATCATGGTTTTGCTATCTCAGCTGGTGCAGGTGTGAGATAGATGCTGAGATACTTCACATACACCTTCAGAAGAAAGCTGAAAGATTTGTTTCAGATTGTCATTTTGGACTTAGACATATCCAAGTTTGAGGCCTAAAATAATTGATTTCCTTTTTTTTTTCTTCTTTTTTTTTATGTGTATTTGATTTGCTGCACATCAGCTGGATTTAGCCAATGTCACACAATATGGGTGATAGATGTCATAACAACAAAATTAGACAAACACAATCTCATGGCTGAAAGCTGAAGTCAACAAAACCTGTAGTAACAATAAGGATTGGCTCACTTACGGAGCAGGTAACTGAAGAGTGTCCTCCAGTTCCAGAATGAAGAATAGAAGTTTTGTCACAAAGTACATGTAGCCCAATGCTAAATTCCTGGATTGGAGCACAAGAACTGCAAGATGAATTCCCACGGCTCAGTGCTAAGATTAGTTTAAACTTTTATGGACAGTGCCCTGCAGCAAGTCTAAGACCTATATACTTGTCTGAGAAGACACAACTTGCTTATTCTGCCTATGTCTGGAATTGTTTTTCTGGTCTCTTCTGGTTTTAACTGCACAGTTGTCAGCCTTTACTCTGGATGGGTATGAGTCAGCTCCAAACCATAAACAGTGTAGCCATGGTTAGTAAGCCTGAGCTGCTAAGCCTTTGCTGATACCGTGGGCACAAGTTGTGCCTGCTTGGAACACAACCAAAGCAAGCTCACATCTGCTTGCAAAAAAAACCCCAAACCAACAAAAACCAAACATATCCTCTCTGTTCTTTTCCTGCTTCCTCCCCCCTTCCTCGTTCTACCTTTCTGTTGCCCTCTCACTTTTTCTTTCTCTCTGTCCCACCCACACACGTCCACAAGAGCACTCACAGAAACTCCACCTATCTAAGACCTCCACCCAGATAGTTCAAATTCCTGACTGGGATTTCACGGGGCACACGTTTGTTTAGAGTGGTAACATGTGTCTGTCTTTTCATGAGGCCCCTTGTGCAGTTCCTTACAATGGACTTGAACAAACAGCAGTTGTTACATTCATCCCTTTCAACAGGGTTTTACTCAACCTATGAAGTGTTCATCTTTGCCTACTACAGGTGACTGAACCCAGAAAAGGGTAACATACATCATGGGGGGAGGGGGGGGAGGGGGAAGGCACTGTGCTGAGTTCCAAATACTTTTTGAGGAGTTCCCCATTCAGAGAGGACAGACTCACTACAAGTTTCACTAAATCCACTACGGCAGGATGTCACTGTCCTGCTGCTCACAGCACATACTCTGATTGCAGAAATGTCAGTAACAGCCCTGCTTTGTTGTTGACAGTAGCAGCTGATGATACATAAATTTTGAGTGACTTTTCATGTGCCTACAAGATCCAGGTTCCATGGCCTTTTCTCACGTGCAGGATAAGAAACAGGTTACTCTTTCCCTAAATTTCCTTTTAATCTCTCTTTTCTTCCACTAGCTAGGCACTAATTGTGTTGTACATCATCTTCTGCCATTTTTCTGGCACAAGCAACATGCTGGCACAAGTCAGTGGAAATTCAACATTCATTAAGGTTAGACTGTATTGCCTCTCTTTTTTTTTTTTTTTTTTTTTTTTTCCCTAGGATGATTGCTTTCAAGAAAGAGACTAGCAGTTTTACAACAGGAAGCCCTCCATTTTAGACAACTAAGCTACATAAGCTGCATCTTGGCTATCATTGCCTTGATGCCTGGGATTTAGTTTTTCTGAGATCTGGATATTTTTACCAGTAGGTTTTGAAAGGCATCAACAATCTTAGTCACCTACACACTTGCATGAAGACTATATTCTCAAAGAAGCAGTACTTTTTGACAGAACAACTATGACAAATGCTGAGAAGTAAAAGGATCATCTCAGAACACATACCTTTCTCTTTTTAAAATGCATAATCCTTACAGGAGATTACTGATGGGTGAATATTAGAGCTGGTCTGCCTTCTGGCTTGAAAGCTTGTTTCTCAGGCAAAGCTGTCTTCTGGCAAATTAAAGGAAGTTGAGTTTCTCAGGATCCCATTTCCCCCTGCACAGGAGAAACTGATATAAGAGAAAGCAAGCTTGCTTATTTCTGTGAATTCTTCCTCTGTGTATATGTGTGTGTGTGTGTTTGTGTGTAATATTTTTATCCTAGTGGTAAAACCCAAACAGATTAGGTGCAGACCCCAGCATTTTCTTTTCTTGTATTATCTATGTCTCAATGAAACATCAGGAAGCTAAATAAAGATGACTCTCACTCTGTCACTTATTCCTGCTACCTGCTGGATGTCACAGGTCCTGCAGGTTCATCCACACACTGTGTACCTTGGTTAAATGTGAAAGAAATATTATTGTCACTGTTCTAGTTGTAAGATACTTATATAGGTCCACTATTACAGCATAGTCATAATCTTTAACAAATACATCTTCCATAAATCCATTGCAGTCAGGCTCTGCTATTCCCATTTAAGAAAATGGAACAGAGAAAGAAATTGCAAATGACTTGCCCAACATTACATATATCCATGGTAATATGCAAAATGACATTTTTTCCTTGGCAGAGCAAGGCTTGATTTGTTTCACAAGCCAAAATAGTGCACTAATTTGCTTAATAAGCCCCAAACAGTGCCTTAACCGTTTCATCTCTAGATTAGTACCTTGTTATGGTGGAATTAATTACCATATAGTACCTAAAACAAATACAGATTTCTTTAATCTGCCAAGTATATATAAAAATTTCACAGTGTTTGGGCTAAATGGGACACTCAGGATTAGCAGATGGAGTGCAAAATAGGTTTTGGGGCTTGGAAAAGTCAGCCGAAAAAACCAGTAAGTTCCACATGATCTTACCTGCTGGAGAACATGAGAATGCCATTCCTTTATCTTCTGCAAGTTAATTTCCTGTTCCCTCTTGACTCCTAAACCTTCGCAGCCTGCACTCTAGGGCTGTGCTATCCTATGAGGAGGGAGAATCCAATTAATTATGTCCTACCTTGCATTCAGCTTTCAGCAAGCAATTACTAGACAAAACCTGGTTGAGGCCCTTGTTTGATTTAGGAGGCTTGTGTGTCTTGGCATTCATCAGGATTTACTGATGTTGATAAATTGCTCTTCTCTGTCATGGCTCTAAATAGATATATCAGGTTTGTCCAAGGCTTCTTGCTGAGCCTTGATCTAAATGGTTTTTCATCTAAGAGTATGGAGCAGTTATTCTTTTATCTGGAACTGATATATGGAGGTCAGAAGTAATGAAACTGGCATTTGTCTAATTATGAATTCCATTATTATTTTCTATCCTCAAGCAACTAGGGGTAAATCCATATGAGTCTGCTTCAGTAAAGCTCTCCTGAACTGGCATAGTGAGATAAATTTAAAGTAGCATGAGCCAAGTATGTCTTAGGATATCTCTATGTGCAATACCTAAGAGAGCCTAGGTTGCAATCTGGAGACATGCTGTTGCTAGCTCGAGTGCAACTAAGTTGAAAGTGGTGGGTCAGGAGTATATTCTCTATGAAATAGAGTCTGGGATGCTGCCTCCTGCCCCCTGTCCAGCACCTGTTTTTGTTAGCTTCCCTTTGAAGAGTGGCTGGATAAATAACATGCAGACAGATGAACAGGGAGTATACATAGAGCTAGCTGGTAGTACAGCATGAACTGATTGTACTGTCTGGTTTAGTTAAATTTCAAGATAATTCACAGGATGCTCAAAGCCTGGGGACATTTCTGCTATATTTTAAGCCAGAGAAAAACCAAATAAAGAGGGGAAAGAAATAATAGAATATTTTATTTTTACTACCTCTCAGCCTTCTATGTTCTTAACCAGGAGCTTTGTAAAGTACTTTCATTTGTTTTCCAGATTAGTATTTGAGATCATAGCCACAATGGGCAGAAGTTTGCTCTTTCTAACACACATACTGAACTGAAATTACTTGGGTTTTTCCTCCTAAATTTGTTCTAAGTTCTTGTGAGTCACTGTATTACTTGACAGCTGAATTTAATGCATCTGATTGTGAAGTTCCCTAGCTTCTAATCTTCAAAGATCATTTACTGACAAATACCATGTAACGTCTGTAATAGAACTGCTGCACATTTATGTTAAATAGCTCTGAGTTTTGTTTGTTAATGCCAGGTGATTCAAGCTAGACTCTTTTTTGATATAACCAAATATAAAATCTAATCTGTTTTGACTGCTTCCATCCCATGGAATGTTCAAGTTTGTGCTAGTTTTACACCCAAAAGCTACAGAAAGGGCCTTCATGAACTTCGAATTCCAATGAACTACCTTGTACAATTACACTTGTACTCCAACTGTCTTTTTGAACTAATGGGTTTTTAAATGCTCATCACAATCATGAGAGTATTCCTCATGGATGTAGCTGTGTGTTTATAAAAAAGAAATCTGTTTTTTCACACATAGTACTTGCTATCCATTTTTTCCTACTCAACTGTTTTAAAAGTTTTATGTCCAATTAATAATCAGAAAGGATGAGTAGAGTTACCCAACACAAGTGAAAACCAGAGAATAGTGAGCTTATAATATTGTGGAAAAACCCAGACACAGTTCTGATAAAAAAAAATAAATATTTTAAAATACCTCTGCAAATATTACACCCTGAATACTGTCGTGAATATTGCTGAAATATCCACAAGGATAAGAAGGGCTTAAACTGATGAAAAGTGATTACCTGAAAAATGTCATGACTGTACAGCTCAATAGTCCGTGAGCAACTTTCCTGCTGCGGAAATTCCTATTCCTGAAATGGAGGTGGTACTGTTTCCTTCCATCACCGCACACCACTTGCTGGGGAAATTCACCTCCACCTCACCAGACTTTGCTTCAGCTGAGCTTGTAGAAGTCAGGTAATTGTTGGCACTGAGTATCTGTACATCACCTTAAGCTTTCTTATGTCAAAATGTCAGTAGCACTCGGTACTTTTATACTGCTTAATATTGGTATTATTGTTCTTTTATATGTCAGCCTGAAGATATAATAATATCATAAAGTGGTCCAGATGTCAAGGTATGTCATTACTATATAATAGTGGGTGCAGTTTTCTCTGCTCTCCTTAGACTTACAGTAAAAATTGATGTATTTCCTCAGAAATCATTTATTACTTTACACATCTGATTAATAACAAATCAAGACATACATTTAGAGAAAAGGTCTGTTGGACCTAAAGATTAAATAACCAAATAAAAGCAAATGCTTAATTGCATTATTTACTGTTAGAATAATATTTCCAGTAGTAAATTTTTGTATGGACGATCAGAGGGAAATCCATTCCTGGCTTGAAGGAAGACATATTAAATTTCTAATCTTTATTGACTACTTAACTAGAAATATAGGAAAGCAAGATTAATCAGGATGATTCAGTGTGAAGAAAGCAATTGTGTCCTTTTTTTATGGCCATGCAAATTTAAGCAAACCATAAAGTTTTAGGCAATTATGTGTAGGTTTATTAGAACAGAATTTTTGCAGTTTGTGACAACTGAGTAATTATCTTTAGTAGATAACCTTGTACGAACATACACCAGCTTGTACACACTATGTAATATAGAGGTCCCCAGAAACTATCATATTCTGTACAAAATCTAATATATACTTTAAACCAGATATTCAGACCAGCACCTCATTTTGAGCAAGCATTGTCTTTTGTGCTTAATATATACAAGAGTATTGAGGTATAATACTTATTATTATCTAGCAAGAGAATCTCACTACTGTTAATTATCAGTGAAGTAAAATTTAAGTGACATCATTATCTTGAAGAATATCGGCAATAAGAACGTGCCACCCTTTATTATATCAAAGGCCCCAGTAACCAGTGTCCTGTCTCCAGAAGTGTTAATGGGTAGCAGAGAGACTCCAAAGCCTCATCAGCACTAAAATGGGTGCAATAGTTTGTTTCAGAAGCAACTGGTTAAAGCACTGCAGGAGTTTGATTCATCTCCTTTTAACAGTAGTTATCTGCAGTGTAGATGGCTACTTCTGAGATAACTGTCTGGTCTCCCTATGCAAAACTAGTCACTGGAAGGACCATAAATATTAATTTCTGATTTGCAGCCTTAAAATGTCTGCTTCTCTTCAGGGACTCTAGGGGCAACCTGCAGTGACTATCTTAGACAGAGACATTTATATGACTCCCTCCACAGGACCATATATTTTAAAACAGTCAAATGTCTATACATGCAGGTAGGACAGGAAAGCCAGGGGCACTACATTCATCTTCTCTGCAAACAAATGCAAGTGAGGTGCCTTAGGTAAAACAACTTCATTCACACTCATTCATCTGGTCATGTAAACCATAGCCAAAACCAACAGAGCTCACAATATTTGAGACTAAGAGAATTCACCAAGGAGCTTGTTGTTGTCTGGCAAACACTGGTGATGAAACAGAAGGATTAACAAGAGTGATCTGTACATATAGTGAGGATTTTAAATGACAAGCTGAGAAAACTATATAGTGAGGCAGGCTGGACTGAAGTGCTTAGGGAAGGGAATGCTTGAACTGGATTGTTCTGAAGTCAAAAGTGCAAGAAATAGTATGGATTTTTAATCCAAAAGCTGGCATGAAAGGGCTCAGAATCAAGGTGGACAATTAACAACATCAAAAGTATATAAGAAATAAATAGACACCCTTAGTGAAACACAGAAGGAGACCAAAGATTTTCCTGGAGGGCAAAAAGAGTAGACTAAATTGAAAATTGCTGAAAGTTAAGATGAATTAGATCTTGTACAGGCAATTAAAATAGTAGATTTTAAATATACCCATATAAACAAAACAAGAACCAGAAAAGAAGAAGGCAGGTCTTACATAGAAAAGCTGACCTTACTTGCTTTTTTGCCAGTATGTCTTGGATAAATAGGACAAAATGCGTTTTGTGTTCACTGGAAATAGATTATATCATAACAACATGATTTTTTTAAAGACAAAAATATTTTCTTTTGTTATCTTTCCCTTGCAAAGCCATAGCTTTAATCCACATGGATGTTGCTTAGTCCCTTTCTATTCCACACAGAGAATCATCAGTTTATGAAGAGGGGGTTGTATATAAGAACTGAAAAGAGGATAGTTAGAACATAGATGACGGGAATTTGTGCTGAAAATAGTCCTAATACTGGAGGGAAGTATGTAGCACATTTCCCCCAGGAGCAGTTTTGGTCTATCTCAATCTCTAATTTAATATTTTCATGTAGTATATATTGCCATGCGAAAATGTGCATATCCTAATGAAATCTGATGATGATGCAAAATTGAGAGGCAACATTAACATAGAAAATGATTTGAATATTAACAATATAAAATAGAATCACAGGATATAAAAGAGAATTGGAGAAAAGTTAGAAGATGGAATCACATTTAACAATTTCAAGTACAAAGCAATAGACAAATACAAGACAAAGTACAGGAATGTCTGCTATTACATGGGTGTTCATCAGATGACCACAGAACTATGTGGTGCATAAATGATATTACCATGAAAGAGGCAAATGTGATTCCAGGAAGTGTCTGTACCATACAGCAAAGCTCTGCCTGGACATTTTGGATGGACAACCATTCTTTGGTGTAGTTCTGGCAGTCATTTGTCCTAGGGGTCATTCCCTGCAGACAGAGATGGCTTCTAGTTGCCAGGTTTTGCTTCCACGGGCCTTCACTTTCCTCCAACACTAGCCTAGGAGGTTCAAGACACCCTTAAAGTCCACTGAGCTGAATCCAAGGCCCAGAATAATCAATATGTCTTTCACAATCATGCTATAAAATCAGTGCACTGGTGGGGTCTGTTCAGCATAATCCTTACATACCCTTTAAACTGAAACCTCCTCCCACCACACACACGCACGTGTACACACACACAGAGTTGTGCTGCTGCTGATGTTTTAGACTCACAGTGTCACCGTGCTGTCCCCAAGGAGACCCAACTCAGGTACTGTGCAGTGTGTACACGAGCACTCTGTGCTTGAGGAGGTTTTGTTTTGGACTGTGTGGATGCTCTGCATCAGTGGAACTGGAGGTCATCTGGAAGCATGCCTGCAGACACAAGCATGGACACAGGATGCCTGTGGACATTCAGGTTCAGCATCTATTACCTTGCTACAATCTAGACAGTGACTGGAACACACTAGTTCCTTTCCTAATCTTTGTGATGCAAAGTCTCAAAGCAGCTCTTGCAGCTACCATGGGGATACAGTCCTTTTTCCTTTGGCTATCTTAGGAAAGTGGGACAGTTGCTAAAATACCAAGTAAACAATTTGTTGCCTCTTTACCAATCTAAGGGAATATCTTGCTAAATAAGAGAGGTGTGGGACCACTGTCTTTTAGCTAGTTACTGTGGTACTTAAGTCGAAAGAAAGAGTTAAATTACTAATTCCAAATGTAAAGCACAGTTGTAAAGGTTTACAGAAACAAAGAAAAACTGCCTAAGATTCTGGTACCGATATAAGAAAAAAATCTCTACAATCTGTTTTGTAGACACACTAGGTCTTGTAGACATACCTGTACTCTGGTAAACACACAGGGCCAGGAAGTGAGCTTTAACACCAGACCCCATGGTAGTCCTATTAAAAATTTTGAGGAAACTAAGCAACTCTGGCATGATAGGGAAGTGCCTGCATGGATATGTAATTGTTTGTCAGCTTACCCCTGGCTCTGCATTTGACCACTCTATCTTATTCTCTGCAAGATGAAAACCCAGACGCAGTTTTGGGAGTAGTTCAATCCAGAAATCTAATCTAGCAGTCAGTTAGAAAGAGACTATCAGGTTCAACTCCCAGCAAAGTCTTCTAATAGGCTTTGTACCCTTTTGCTTCCCAGAGAACACAATACAAACCCTCCAGTTTCATACTCCAATGGTATGACAGTGATAGGCTGCCATGTAGTCCTGAAGTTATTTCAGAGACTCTGTGACTAAAAAAAAAAAAAAAAGACACAAGATAATAATTATGTCATAGGATCTTGTGGGCAATATGTAAGATAGAGAAGAGACTCAATGCCAAGCAGTCTCTAGGTGTACATGACTGATTTCTCATGAAGGGACTGGACCAAAGCAGTGGGGACTTCTGTTAATCTGTCCTATCTGTCCTCAAGGTCAAGCATTGGTCCCAGTACTCCCTTTTTTCACCAGCATAGATGTACCCCTCTCTTCACTGATTCTATCTCTTTGCCCTTCTAACCTGTTGTATCCCACAGTGTAAACCACCTCCTAGTACATCATCCTAACTCCTATAGCCAATACTGTTTCTTTAGAGGTTTCCAGGGAATTCGTTCAGATTCAGACATCCTACCCAAAAATTACTTAGTTATATGAGAGATGGTTTTCCTCCTGCTGATTTAGGAATAGACTCACCTTTTCAAGGAAGGAAATGTCACACTGCCAGATCAGGTGTCATCCGCACTTGGCTGACTTTGACTTTGCGTGGAGTAAAATATCTTCCTTTGTTGGGACTCTGTTGCATACATTTCAGTGTGAAGTGTCTCCATCTACTGAGCTTCTATTTTATATCAACCTGTAAATAAAATAATGTACTGCTTACAAACATTTACTTGAGTTTAATACACCCCACTTATTATAAATTCTTGACTGACACAGGAAAATGATATTATCTGCCATTTTGGATGAAAATGAGTTTGAGGTTCTTTTTTATGAGAGGAGACAAAAAAAGTTTGGCTTGGGTAGCTTAGCAAAATGAGAAAAACTGTAGCATTATTCAGGTTAGAAGGGATCTTTGGAGGTCGCTCAGTTCAATTTCCTTCTCAAACAGACAGACTAAATTCAAAGTCAGATTGGGTTGATCAGGTTTTTGTCCACTTGAAGTGAAAGTATCTCCAGGAAATGAGATTCCACAGCCACTCTGGGCAACCTGGTCTGGCACTTGACCATTCTTCTGTAGATTGTGGTTTTTTCTCTTTTTATCCAGTCAGATTTTCTTTATAGCTATTTGTGCCTCTTGCTTCTCATCTTTATTTCTGACTGTGAAGAAGACTGTCTTCTTTATAAGCCCCTAGTAATCCCCTAAGACTTTTTTTCTGGCTTAACAAACCCACATATCTCAACCTGTCCTCATATATCATGTGCTCCATGTTGAACTTGAAGATACAGTATGTCTCTTTCTGTCCTCTGTTTTGATTTTTGTAGAATCAGTTTTAGCATTTTTGGCTAGGAGAAAATTGTCTAGTGCTATCCTTATCAGTTTCTGTCTGCAGTGACCTCATCAGTGTGGACAGGAGAGGTCTGAAGATTTAGGGAACATTTGTGAAATCATTACTTGAATCAAGAATTAATTCTAACCAAATACATGTAAAAGTTCCCCAATCTGTGGCATTCAGAGATAAATTTAAAACAATATTTATGGTTTGTAGGAAATGTACATCACCAAAAAGAAAAAAAAAAAAGGAGAACTGCAATGTCTCAGTACACTCCTAGAAGCTGATGCCTTACAGGAAGCCTTCATCTTTAGCAGTGCTGTACACATAAGCCTGAGAAGAGGAGAAAAGATTGTAGTATTTCCTTCTATCCTCCTGCAGAAATGAAGTGCTTTATTCTGTTTACTCCTAGGATCACTTCATTTTTTTCACTGGTAATTATGAAAGGAAAAGAGATAAATGAAGCTGACACGGGTCTCTAAGACTGTGTATTATACCTGGGGTCCAGAATGAGCCATGTGCAGACCATCATTAGGCAGATTGTGAGGAAGAAGATACTGCATTTCCTGCATTAATTCTATACTTCGGAAAAAAAGTATGTGAAATTGAGACCTAGTGATTAAAATTCAAAATCTCTTTCTGAAGTGGAGAGATACAGACAGAAAGAGTTCACTGGGATGAATTTCTAGCTCTTGGCTATTGCTATCCTTCTTTTTTGAGAAGCTCAACCTTTGCTAAGCAAAGCCTTAATGCAATGCTCTGTGTTATTATGTTGAAGATCCTCTAGCAGCACATTTGGTTTGACATTAAAAGGAAAATAATTCAGCTAGGGAGCTGTAGAAAGCTTCTGCCTGCTCTAAAATTGCAGCTATGCTTACTGTGTTCTCTTGATATTAGTGATCAGATCATACTCTGCTTTTGTTTACAAATAATTTCCTTTTGAACTAACAGCATTGGAGCTTCTAATATTTTTGGCAGATACAATCATGTCTCTTTTTCATGCCTAAGCTGATCAACTGGAAATTAACCTTGGTGGGCAGGTTCTCTAAGGTGATCAGCATAAAGGACCCTTGTTAGCAGCATGAATTTCAGGAGCATTTTTCATTCATATAAAACTGTTAATACAGATCAGATTGTACAGTTAGGTTCTATGATTTTTAGGAACTCAGACATTGTCTGTAGGAAAAAAAGCATTTCTCTTTCTTTTCAAGAAAAAAGAATACTGTTGGATTGTTTTGAATATATATCATTTAACTACCTTGTTAGCTTCTTTTGACTCCCACCATGAATACTTTTCTACCTAGAGAAAAAATGGATAGTATTATTTTAAAGCAAATACGTGCTCTGCATTGGGAAGAGGAAGATTAATTACACAACAGAACCTCAGTGTTTGAAAACCTGTGACCCAAACTTCTCCCTCTAACAAACCACTTCTTGTGCTATTATCTTCCACCTTTGTATTGATTTGCATTTAGCTGCAAATCCTTCATGTCACCTAGTTGATTCAGACAACCAAATTTCATGGCAAAGCAATGGTGCCCTAGTATTCTATAACATATTGGAGTACTTTTTCTACAATAACATTAAGAAAAGAAACATGAACTTGCATCTCTAGTGTTACAGCACTGCTATAGTGTGCATACTCTCAGGTACTGTTGCATTACTTGACTTAGGAAAGTTCAAAAAAAGAAGAAAAGCAAAACAATTTATGAACTGATTTGTGAAATCTATATTTAGAGTTATTCAGAAAGACAAGATAAACTCCCAAAACATAATTATATTTTCATAGCTCATTCAGTTAAGCAGCAATTTGGGTTCAGTAGGACTTTAGTTTATTCCTGAATGAATTTGCTCATAATTTGATATTAGATTGCCAAGTAATACGTTATTCTCTGCTGTTTTCAAAATGTGAGATTATAGCTTAATATATAAAGAATGAAAAGGGTCAAGTCTTTGTTCTCTTGTCACTATGACCAGCAAAAAAAAGGAAGACATCCACAGCACAACTAGTCATGCCAGGCAGTAAGACAGTAAACTATTTTCCCCTCTGTTCTTGGGAGTAGTGCCTTTTTCCAGCACTGTACCTACATTTTGAATCATGATAATTCTTGTATTTATTATTTTCCTTCAAGTTCTAGTCACTGGCTTCTTCCTCATCACTGTATTTTATTCTTGATTTCTTGTCTTACGGAATTTCTGAAGACAAGGCAGGAGTAGAAACACATCACTTGAGTTCTCCAATGGCTGAAGCAACCTACCAGGCACTCATTAATTAGAATAATTAAGGAAACCATTAAGGAAACATTTGTAAGACACTTACTTCTGTAAATTATGTACTGCAGATCCAGTGGCAAATACAGGCAGATAATTTTGGTTGCAGAGGACTCTGTCCTCTGTTTTCCATGTGCATACATTTCAGCTGTAAACTTAGGCCAGGCTCTGTCTAGCTTTTCACCCACTTAAACTGTTATTTATTTATTTTACAAAGAGCTAACCAAAACATTATTGTTGTATTACCCTTTGCCTGGGAGTGTCAATTCTCTAGCTACACCCTCCATGTCTACATCCCTCCCAACAAAATTGTCGATATTTAACAAGTATTACAGAATGATAGAGGATGCTCACCCACCCATTTTCAAAATGCTTTTGGGAATAATGTGCTCCACTTGACAGGGCATTCCTGCTGAATGAAGCTTGAAGGAAATAATGTCAGCTCATGCTCTTTGTCTTTGTTAACAGTCCCCTATTTTCCATTAACATTAGCTGTGTACAAAACCCAATATTGAAAGATGATTGTGTGATGATTTTCCAGACTGGCAAGCGGAAAATTGGCCAAATATATATTACGAAGCACATGTTAGACAGTGTTAAGCACTAGCAGTTTAAAAAATTTGTAAAGACAAAGAGGCACATCCATCTTCAAATGATGGACTTTCAAAAGGTGATCTATTGCTGAGGAGTCTCACCTGTCACCCTTGAAGAAGCTGCTTTACACCAGCACCATCATGAGCAGCTTCCAGCCCCAGCAGTCAGTGTGGATGCAGAAAGATCACTGAGCCTCTCATTGATACATTTGTCAACATTCTGGGTTTAATGAACTGCCTTTTCACAAACCCTATGAGAATAACACTCCTATGGGGATGGTTGTTTGCAGAGATTAGTTACAGAGCTTGGTATACATGCAAGAGCCTTGTCAACAGCAAGGCTCTTGCATATAACAAGGTTGTGGGCTGTCCCACAACCAGAGGCAAAGTCAAACTTCTTTATCAACCCCTGCCTCCCACTCCCCTGTAGTTGCATTGGTGCTATCTGTTTTTCCATTACACTTAGAATGAAAGGAAAGGATGACCATGCTGGAGTGGGAAGTGGGACAAAATAAAAGGCGACAGGCTTAAAACCTCCCATTCTTCCCTTTCCAGAGGCTAAACATACTGTGAAAATACAGAACTCTTCAGTCTGGAACTAAGGGTAATTTAAAAAGTCATGTAAATGTTAGTTAAACTGAACTGCTAATCACCAAAACCTGCAATAATGGAATTGGGGAAATTCACTGAAATGAGGGATAGAGCATCTTAAAGCACATTTGAGAAAGTACATCTTTACACAGTGGGCAGTGAACTTCTGTTGCCACAGGGAACTATGGGGCAGATGGTATCAGCAGCTTCAAGTGAGGCTAGACAAATTCATGGCCAGTAGTCTGACAGCCAGATCATGATATTAAGATTCTATGAATCTATGATTCCATGATTCAGATACTAAAGAAAAGGAGCAGGGATGTGCCCTGTAATACAAGGAGTGTGGGTTATGCTGATGTGTGAGGGAATGAACTCGGGAGGTGGCAAGGCTCCTGTGCACTCTCCCACTGCTGCGCTCAGCGATGGAATAGAGGGTTAGTTGGACCACTGGTGTGATCCATTTCTTATGTACCTAGGACAGCAGAAATGGAGGAATCTGAAATTTCCCACATTTGTAAAGCACTAATGTGAGATACAGTTTTCACAATACATCCCATACCATATTGCTGAGATTCAACAAGGTGAAGTACTGGGTCCTGCACTTGGATCACAACAACCCCATGCAGCACTACAGCTGGGGAAAGAGTGGCTGGAAAGCTGCCCAGCAGAAAAGAACCTGGGGGTGCAGTTCAACAGCCGCATGAACACAAAGCAAGAGTGTTCCCAGCTGTCCAGGACAGCCAGTGGCATCCTGGCTTGTATCACAAATAGTGTGGCCAGCAGAGAAGTAATCCTCCCCTTTTACTCAGCACTGGTGAGGCCATGCCTTGAGTCCTGTGTCCAGTTCTGGGCCCCTCACTACAAGAAGGGCAATGAAGCTGGTGAAAGGTCTGGAGCACAAGTTTTACGAGGAACAGCTGAGGGGGCTGGGGTTGTTTACCCTGGAAGAGTGGTGTCCTGGTTACAGCCAGAACAGGGTTAGTTTTTTCAGTAGCCAGGAGAGGGCATGGCTGGGACCCAGAGGTTATTCTATACCACCTCCCATAATTTTCTGGGGACAGGGGAAGGGGTCCCTTCTGGGTCAGGTAGTGTGGCGAAGGGAGCAGTTGGGTGTTGTCAGGGGTAAGAACTCACGTGTGAATTGTTCATTTCTTGTATGCTCTTTTATTGATATTGCTGCTGTTACTGTATATTTCCTTATCTCATTTCTGTTCCCAGTAAATCGTTCTTATCTCAGTTCATGATCTTTACCTTTTGTTCCTCCAATTCTCCTCTCCTCCAGTTCTTCCCCTCCCACTGCAGGGCGGGGAGGAAGGGGGACCAAGCGAGTGGCACATGGTTTGGAGAGTCTCAGTGGGAGTACTAAACTGGGGAGTACCATTCCTAAACCACAAGTGGTCAGGTATTGGAAGAGGCTGCCCAGGGGAGTAGTGGAGTCACCATCCCTGGAGGTACTTAAAAGACATTTGGGGACATGATTTAGTAGTGGACTTGGCAATGCTGGGTTAACAGCTGGACTTGATGATCCTAGAGGTCTTATCCAACCTAAATGGTTTAATGATTCTGTTATTGTAAGCATTGTCCACTCAAGATCAGGAGTCTGAACTAACTTCTGATTTCTGCTTGTCAGCCAAGCATAGCTGTGGCAAGATCTGGATTGCAGTTTGGAAATGTGACTGTGGAGACTGGTCCCACTCTCATTAGGTTGAGGAGACAAGTCTTTGCACTTGATGAGGTTGCCTTAACAGCTTCACAAAGAGCTATAAGTGATTATGTTCAGAAAGGCTGTGAAGGGAAGCTAGAGCCAAGTCCTTGTCAGTCTAAGCATGGAGAACATCCTTCCTGATTGCTTCCCTTGGCTGCAAGAAAATTGAGAGTAAATGTGCTACTTTAATACTATACTGCTCTGCTTTGTAAGATTGCTTTGAAGAAATTCTGATTTGCAGCAATAATCACATAGCTAATGATTTTTTTTTTCAATTGAAGAGAATGAGCATAATCTAGTTATAACAACTTTAGAAGACTGTGACCAGTTTTTACACCAAAGCCAAACAGTATGACCCAGCTAATTATAGTTCTGACAGCCTGATATCAATCCTGGGCAAATTAATGGAATGACTGATACAGGACTTGATTAATCAAGAATTAAAAGAGAGGACTATAATTAATACTAGCTAACAGGGGTTTACTGAAAATAGATTTAATCATACTATGTTGTTTCTTCTTCTTCTTTTTTTTTTTTTTTTTAAATGAGATTTTGTGTTTAATCTATACAGGTAATAGAAAAAAATAAAAGAATTACCTGGTATGTCACAACAAAAAAAATACACACATATAAAGTGTACTGAATATGTACATGATACGTAGTAAAAGCAGGATAAACTGTTTCACTCACAGTGTCCAAATGTAGTCATAAATTTGGAATCACCAGTGGCTGGTGGTTCTTACTGGTTCCACAGGGTTCATCTATGGCCCAGACTTACAACAAAATTCTGATTCTAATAAGAAGGTGTGAAAGCAATAAGTAACAAAGAATAAGACAGCAGAGTTGATTGCTCTTAAAGTGTGTTGAACATGTGCTTCAGGACAGACTGAGAGAAACTGTACATCTGTGGGATAACAAAAGTATAGTTAATGCTTGAGAATGGGGGAATCTGTCCTGTTGGGCAGTGGTTCTGAAAAGAAATGGTAGATCAGTGTTGCAAAGATGTAACTGTGAAGTCTGATTGTGGCCAGTTGTAACACATGGTGCAAGCTGGTGAGAAAGCTCAAGCAGCATTGCTGCACTGTGTAGTCTCCCTTGATTTCTTAATTTTGCCTCTGTAGAAATAGCTTTTCTTTAATGTGCTTTCATCTGCTCACTCTTTCTATGGTAAATCTCTTCTACCCTTAGCAGCCTTAGCATGCTGGACACTTTCTGCACAGACACAGCACAAGTGTCTAGGACAGACAGGATGAATCATGTTCTGGAAGAGCCTGTTTCTCTTCATTGAGAGAAGATGAAATCTAGGAACTGCTACAGAGTAAGCCCTTTCCTTTTATTAGAGAGCTAAAATTGAATGAAACTGATCTCACTTGATAACCAGAATTTTAGACATACTTGGAGACCACAAATCCTTTTGAGTGTGATTGGTGTCTGGCACTGAAGTTGATTAAGATTTCTTTCTAGTCAAGATAAAATAACAATACTTGCTAAAATGCTTGTCTGTGTTCTCTGGAGCTGTCTGTGATCCTTCAGACCAAAAGAACTTACAATATTGAAATTAATATAATTTGTACCACAAGCACCCACCATATGACATGAAGGACAAAGATAATGTGTTACAGAAGCTAATATGCTGCAAATTATTTTCAGGAGTTTCAGTTCAGCAGCAGAAACAGGTAAATTAGATCATTTTTAGAAATGCATTAAAGGAGTTTTGAATTGAGAAGCCGAAAGAGCATTTAGACAAAATTCAGCAAAACAAATGTATTGCAAAATTCAGCAAAACAAAGCTATGTATTGTAAAAGATGAATTGCTGGTACAACATGAAAATGTGCGTGATACTATTTATTGTTCTAATTGGCTACATCTTGATAAATGCCAGGAAATGATTGATCTCTCATCACAGATGCTTTGTGAGTTTGGTCGTGGTGCATCATAAGCAATTTTAACAGCTGGGTATAGTTCTTATAATTCACTAACTGAAACAGCAATTTTTTGGAATATTTTTGATGACATAAGTTAGCTCTATGGTTAG